ATTCTATCGGTGAATCCCTCACAAAATCAAATAGGAAGCTGAAAACCGAGATTGAGCTGACAATCAAAGTGTTTTGGGATCTGTCCGATACGCTCAGAGTCTTCTTCCCCGCTACGAATACCACAGCACGTTTGGCTGAAAACGTCGACTTCATACAACAACCATTGTTCCCACACTCCTATAACGTCAGACAGACGTCCGAGCAATATCAGCCGACCCGTCAGTGCAACAAGTACTGTCAACCGCAATCACATCAGCAACCTCTTCAGCGCCTCTACGTCAACACCAACCAGCATCGTGATGCCACGCTGCACCGACACGACATGACATCACCCGCCTCCACTTTGATAAACCCAACACCATTATTCAACGTCGAATCCATATTGGATGAAGAGTCCGAACCACCAAACGCTGAAAGGGAACGCTTACAACAACAAACTGTGTTGGCAAAGGAGCACGGATTCCTGCAACAGCTACCACGAGTGCTTGGGGCGTCTGAGTTCGATTTGGAGCAGCTCGGATTAAGTGAGATCCCGTTGATTCAATTAGTGCAGGAGTCTGACCCCGAAAACGCCGTAGCATGCTAGTTCTTTGTTTCCTTTGCCGCTTGATTTGGTTTTCGTGGTTGGTTCGTTGTATGTACTTTTTCCCCCACATCGCTGAAACTGCCTTCTTGTATGCACTTCCTTTTCCACAATTCGTTTCTTTCACTCATGTGTACGTAAAATTGTCATCATCAGGAATACAAGTACGTGTCAGTCCGTTTCAATGACTAAGGTTGCTTCATTGCCCACCCCATTACCACGCAAACTTGGATAACACGTACTAGTTGCCCCCTGTCCTTTTATATAAGTATCAATCTCCAGAATGTTTCGTCATTCACTGGTGGTTACCCTTAATCACGAATATTTTCGTGTATTTTCTCTCGTATGGGTACAATTATGTGTGCAAAGTAAATATACAGTGAACAGATGCGGCAAATTAAATACAAAAGAGCCAACGTTTTCGCTCTTAATCCAGTTTCTATCTAATCCATACCACCCATACCCATACCCATACCCATCATCCCGGCGTTGGCCGCGGCAGGATCAGCCGGTGCTGCCGGTGGTGCACCAGCAACCATGGTAATCTCCACCTGAGCAACGCGATCGCGCCAGTCATAACGGTGAGCAGCCATCGGGTGAACCCCATCCGTGCGGTTGGCAGTCAGCCCGAAAAACCCGCGGTGAATGTGAACCGGCCCTTCGCCCTGCCCATTGGTAGATAAATTCGTCGAATTCGCACACGCGGGGCCTGGAATAAATTCACAAGCTATGGAGCAAATGGGGTTTGGGGGATATGTGAGATGACGGCAAAATGATGGCACCGGACGAACCTGATGCTCCTTCATCGAAAGAAAAGGAAACACGAACTCTATGTTTACTTACCCTCGTTATTTTCTTCAGTACCCGCATCCCAAGCCGGGACGAGATGCCTGTGTTTTACGCCTTGACGCATGGGGAGGCGGACGGGTTGGAGACCGAAAAAGGCGTCGTTGGTGTTGACGAGCATAGCCATTGCCGAGAACACGACCGGTTTGCCTGCGGCAGCGGCGTTCAAAGTCAGATCCAATTCTTGAGTTTGGAGGGGAGGGGTTGGTCCAGGTGCGACGGTCATCCCAAAAATATTGGGGTTGTTTTGCAGTGAAGTCGCCAGCGGAGCCGCGTTGCCTTCTTCAGCAAGAGTTCGGAGTTCCTTTGATGCATTCACACCGGGTGTGAACAGCTCCATTGAGGGATCATGGGCGACGAGCAGAACGGGTGAGAATGGCTGCAGGAAGGTGAGATTGATGATCTTGACTTTGTAGCTCATTGGTTGTTGGGCCACGGTGCAAGGCAAGGCGGCCAAAAGGGCCAGGAGGAGATGTGATGGGAAGAACTTCATTTTGTTGTGCTGGTTAACTCGGTGAACAGAATCGGAATGAAGGCGCTGGTGAAGGCTAGAAAGCGAGAGTTGGCTGGGGAAAGTTCATTCAAGCACGTTTCCCTTTATATGGGTTTTTCTAAGAGAATATGCTTTACAGGCATACTCCGCATTTTCAAATTGCACATTCGAACCTGCATTTGAATCCCAATTGGATGTATTGTTGATCAATGATTTGAATCTCGCAGACAGTTTGAAATGTTTCAGGCGACAACTCACACCATATGTTGAATGTTCCTGGAATGGAATGTTCCTGTAATGAACCGCCCTTCACGATCGCCGTTGGTACGACATCGAGATGGCAGGTCCCATGGGCGCAGCTGGGCACCAGCTCGTCCACCGTTCACTCGTCCAAACTCTGCAGACTGGACGCTGTGCCTAACTCTGCGCTGGACCCTGCGTGCATTTCCAACATTTCAAATAAAAAAATCAAATCCATCGCAAATCAAGTTCAAACACCGACACCCATGGAGGCGCAGAAACCAAGTGGGAGACCAAAATCATTTGCGCATTTCCCCCAAAGATCGCTTGCGGTTATGTGAACGGCCCAGCGAACGGCGGGCTCTTTCCTCCATCTTGTTCCTCTCCTTGTGATGTCCTTCCAGATCTGTCCTCAGATCTGTCCTTATAAAGGCTTGCAGATTTCGAGAATGTTTGCATATCATTTTCAGGATTCATCCAAAGTTCATTCACCGTCACCATCTGCCCCATCAGCATCCATCTACCAAAATGTTTCTCTCCCTCGCAACGCTCCTTCTTGCCTCCGCACACTTTGTCGCTGCACAACAGCTTACGAACTACACCGTCAAAGTCACAAACTTGACCAACCGCCAACCTTTTTCTCCTCTCCTCGTCGTGGCCCATGATCCCTCAATTGAACTATTTATCCCTGGGACCCCGTCAAGTCCACAATTAAGGACTTTGGCTGAGGAGGGAAATGCGCAACCGTTAGCCGATTCGTTGAAGGGGAATCCCAATGTGTTTGGGTAAGTCTTTGCGGAACGACCAGAGCGATTTCAAAAGAACATTCGCGTTGGAAATCGAACATACTTCATAACCAACTGGGTTTTTGTTTTGAACCATAGCATGGTTATTGCTTCTGGCCCCACCGCACCCCTTGGAAGCCAGGAAATGACATTGTGCGCAAACGTCCCCGCTGGCAAGGTTGCCGTTGTATCAGCTTTGGCAATGCTTGTGAACACAAACGACTGTTTCTTGGGGCAACAACCAGTCGTTTTGCCCCAGCAACGTGGGCAGAAGTGGATGCGTTTGGTATCTGGATGGGACGCAGGGACAGAAGAAAACAATGGTGAGCGCGCTGAAAGCGAATCAGTTACTGTAATTTTGCACAACACGATCATGAAGCTGAATCGGGTGTAATTCCTCTTCACGTTGCAGAAATGTGCGAATATATCCCAGGACCTGGATGCCCCAACTCCATCAACATGTCCACCAACGGAACTGGTGAAGGTGTCATCCATATGCACCGCGGATTTCACGGACTTTCTGCAAACCGTACAGATGGTGTGAGGGGATTGAGGGCAGATGTCTACGATTGGCGGGATCGTGTTGCGCAGCTAGTCATTTCTATGCAGTGATGCATGTGAGGAGGGGGTAGGGGGAGGGGAGGAGCGAAGCGCTAGCGAGCGGAGGTGAAGGAGCCGGTGATGAGTGAAACCTGAGTGTGACCTGGTGAAGGGAGGTATGATGTATCAAATGAAAGGCTCTGGTGAAATGATGGTGAAATAGGGCCTAGGGAAGGCGTGGAATCTATGTACATATAGAGCAGACTTCTAAACGTAATTAGCACGTAATTAGCCACCATGTTAGCAGTGATACTTGCATTGTACTGCTGATTGTACTGCACATTTGTACATGAATAATGAAACACCATTCGAACAATACTTCAACACCATCGCAACCAGTCTACATCGCAGTAATCTAAAGTGTCTGTTTTTAGAGAGCGATATCATACTAGGGCGGTTGAGGTATGGGGGATATCCAATCCCAGTTCGTCATGGAGAGCTGGCACTACCTATGTGGGACCTCGGCAGGTGACCCATACTCTCCTCCCAAGGCCGAACTTTGCCAAGGCCGGAAACATATTCGGGGGCGGATCTTGGAATTTGCAATAGACCGGAACTGGACCGGAACCTTCATTTCTTTCTTCCAAGATTGAAATTGAGTCCTGTTGTTTGTCGGCTGGTGATGTCGTTAACGCCATCGCACTATGCATATTTACCGTAAAGCATCCCACCCAGCTCAACACAGTACATCATTAGCCCCACCCGTCCAAATGTCCGACCAAGAAACCCAGCACTTTCTCTCCATGTCCGTTCGACTGGCCCACTTTCAAAAGTGACTGTTGCCGCCCGATAAGCTAACCCGGCAATGCCACCCGCCCTGAATAGGATATGAAGTTTCAAAGATAAAACAATCAGCACCAGGAGTGTCGCAAAGAAGGGAACTTGAGAAAAGCAGATGAAGAGTAGACATGTACGGAATGAAACGAAACCCAGTAGGAGAAATAACCAACTCACCAAAAGTTAGAGGCATGCCACGCCAGATCATATTGCGCAGGTCGCGCTCTCCCCTCTCCCGTCCGTTTCGCCTCAGGCACCGCAATCGGATCGAGATTAACATGACGAGACCGCTCGACCATCTCCTTCAACCCTTCGTAAACGAGAAACAGAGCCGCGTGTCCGAATACAGATTTGGCAACAAGTTTGGCAGGGGTGTACATTTGCGGGGGAAGCAGTTTCAAATCGCGAAGTTGGTCGGGGAAGATTGGTTGTCTCAGCGGAATAGAAACCCCTGCATGGATTAATCCTGCCACGGCACCGGTGGACAGAGCACCGATGTAGGTGGGCGGAGTGACCTCCCGCCCGATCGCGTAGGAGGACGCTAGCGCCACAACCGAGATTGTTTGTCCTCCAAAGTTCATTTTCTCCGTTCGCTCTTGTGTAACACAGGTTGGGGGAAGAAAGTTCGAGTCATCATTGAATACTAAATTGTTTATTTGTTTAGTATCATCAGCAGCGGCGGTGGCTCAGTCGGTAGAGCGTGGGTCTCATAATCCCAAGGTCGTGAGTTCGAGCCTCACCCGGCGCAATGTCCACTTTGAATTATAATTATGATCTCCCTTTTTCGACGTCTCCGGCTGCGGTCGCAATCCAACCTCCCCGGCAGTCCGTTGTGTTCGTTTTTTTTTCGTTTGCATTTGCGATACAACCTGGCCTCCTCAAGCAGTTGACGTTGCCTCTTCGTTCAGCTTTTTGTTGGGAAATGGACTGTGACGCATGTGCGGACCTGTGGCGCTGTATCGCCTTTTTGATTTCAGGAGCCTGTGGTCTTCTGTAGATGTAAGATTGTCAGCTTCCCCACTGCATTGGCAAGCTGACAGGAGAACGAGAGAGGCATTCTCTTGGAATCCGACTTCGGGGCCAGGAATAGGAGAAATCTGTTGGCGAGGAGGGTGACGCTCATGTGCTGTTTCCCCGCGGATAGCACAACATGTTTATCAATGGAAATCGATATCATAGAATTGCTCACCATGTCAGAACGAATGATAATAGACCGAACTCGAACCTTGGACGGCAGCCTGACGGCAAGCCGGGCAGGTCAAACTAAGCCCATAGTGTGACAAATATTCCTCCTCCTGCACAAAAAACGGCAAGACGGCGCACCTCGGCACACCCGAGCAAAATCATTTTTGAAATGAATTGGTGAGCTTTCTAAGACACCCTCGAACGTCTCCGGATCCGCCGACGCGTCTTTCAGTCCTCTAATTTCACCCGCTTGCTCCCCCTCTTCCTCCTCGCCGTCAGTCATGTTGCTGGAAAATGTACAAGCCCCTGCTCCCGTCGGCCCCCGCTCCCAAATCCTCTACGACTGGGACGCTGTCAGACAACGTCGAATGTCTTCTGAACGAAAGAGTTCCTTCTCCTCAAACTTCACGCCTCCGTCCCCTACACCTACAGCCCCACTCCCTGTATCTAACGGGTCGGGCTTTCTGAGGATATCAACGCAATCCCACCCGCCTGCTGCCGCTGCCGATTTGTGGGATATGTTAGGTATGATTTACATGCCTTCGATGAGAGATAAACGGGGTCCATTCTCGCGCGCACCTGTTGCTGTTTGTCTCTTTGTGGTATTTACCTGAGTCATCCCAATCCCAATCAATGATAACTTGTCGTGCTCATCAAAACCCTCCATATTCTCCTGCATTAGCCTCAGCTCAACCAAGTCCGAACGTCCTTCACAGCCCGTTCGCCACTAGTCCTATGAACACCGTCCAACTCTCCCCATCAAGTCCCAGTCCTCTCCGTAGACTCAGTTTTAGCCGCCTCGGCCTTCACCACCATCTATCACCCACGTCTCCCTCTATTGTCAACGCCACAAACCCCCCAACCCAACCTCCGATGCTCACAAACTCCTCGGACGCCGCGAAATGGCTGGCGTTGCAGCAACAGCAACTGCAGCAGCAACAACTTCGCCAGATGCTGTACACTCAACAGCAACAGCAACAACTGCAGACGCAGCAACACCAACAGGCTCCTCAACCGCAATATAGTCAGGCACAACTGCAACAGATTTACTCTTCTCACCATCTTCAATTGCAGCAGCAACAACTGCACCATCAGCAGTTGCAACAACAGCAGATACAGCAACAGCAGATACAACAACAACAGTTGCAGCAGCAACATCTGCAACAGCAGAAGCATGCGCAACAAATGCAGCAACAGCAACAGCGCTACCAGCAAATTCAATTAACTCAACCTCCCACGCATTCATTACCCGGTCCTCAACAACCGCAACTACAAACATCACATCATCAACAGCCACAGCAAGTTCACCCTCAACCCACGCAACCTCTCCAACCACAACTTCCACCGGTTCAAAATGATGATTCCACACCTGTTCCTATGCAGGATATTACTCCAACAAGTCCCGCCGCACCCTTACCACCTCGCCCCGTCGGTCGGGCACGTCGAGACTCTCAATCCGTCGTAACGAACGGAAACCATGGTATTCTCCCCGGCCCCCCGCGTTTCAACCCCCCCATGGTCCCTCGTACAACCC